AAAGTGCCGCTTTGCCCAGCACAATTCTGGGTTTTTTGGGGTACCTCCTCACAGATCAAAAGTTTAAAATGAACACACAAGAAATAAATTAGAATATCTTATCAGAGATGCCTGGGTTCCTTAAGAGCTATTCATTTATCTCTATAAATATTCTCCTAGTTTGCTTTTTTATTTAAGATGGTCTGAATTTCTCTATTTTTCTATCTCTACCGAGGCTAATGAACATACCCCAAGTTTTCATTCTTAGACATGCTCTCTTCTCATGTATATCAGTCAGATAACAAAACCATCCAATTTCAGCAGCTCAAAACAATGAAGGTTATTTTCTTACTCACAGTACATGTCAATCACCAGGTGGCTAGGGACGACTCTATTCTGTACCATCTTCTCTCCAAGACCAACACTGATTAGAGACTTCTCTCTGGAACATTGTTGCCAGCAAAGGGAAGAAGAGTTCTAGAAGGTCTTGCATCAGCAAATAAATGCTCTGCTCACAATTCATTCACAGAACATGCCATGTGGACCAACCTCAACACAAAGCAGCCAGGAAGTGCAATCGTGCTATGCTCCCACAAAAGCATGGGAAATATTCATCGTACATACCAATAGCCACCCACCTGCAACCGTGGTGTTAACAGTTGCCTATACACCGATGTCTCCTAAATAAAAATTCCTAGGAGAGATGTTCCTATTAAACCCCATGTCCGTGTTTTCAAACGCCTACTGGAATGCCAAGTAGTCCTTAAATGGCATGAGTAAGCATTCAACCACTGGCCAAAGGGTTGGCGGTATGAATCTACCCCAAGAGACCAACAGGATGATTTGCTTCTGAAAGGTGACAACTTTGAAAGCCCTTATGGAATTCTAATTTGCATATATGAGCTCCAGTAAGAATACACTTCAGGGCAACTAACACCAACTAGAATGCCATACTTAGCTGTATGACAGACATTCCAAGCTTTAAGTACCACTATTGCATTCATTATCTTTTTTACAAACCCTGGGTTCTCTCTTGGCTCCCTTCTAGGGCATGGCTCCAGTCTAATCACTATGTGTAATAAAAACCAAAGTGTTATCCTTACTTCTTCTCCCTGTTTTCCAAACTTAATCAGCTAAGTCTATACCAAGTCTGCAGTAGCTTGCCAGGAGTTTATCTACAACCTATTAATTTCAAAACCACTTCTTTACTTTAGTCCCTAATCAATTCTTCCCCAGACAATTGTATTATTGTTCTTGCCTCCTGTCCATTGTTCTTGCCTTCATCCTTTTCCTCATAAAGTATAATGAGCTCAACTTAAATTTAAAGTATTAAAGAGGGGTGGGGTGGGGGACAGTGATGTAAAAAAAGTATTACAACACAATGGGACAAATGTGACCATTGCTATGTAGATGGTAGAGTGGTAATGGAAAGAGAACTCCACACTGGGTGTGGTGCTGATTGGAAGTTAGTGTGGAAAACTTTTAAAGAGGAAATGTAACATGAGCTAGATGCTGAGGTAACAGGAGTGCACTGCTTCTCTGCGAACTACAGGAACTGAGCATCAGAGAACAGGGGCAAATGCAGCAGCAGCGCCTGGCACTTTTGAAAAACTACACATAATCCAGCACCCAAGGTGGAGTGAGAGGAATGGCACAAGGAAATAAGCAAGAATCTCATCAATAGGGTCTGTATTAGAACTTAATTTCTGAACACTAAGTTTGTAAAAGGCGATGATTTACTGTGGAAGCCCCAAATCCATTTATGAGCTTATTCATAAATTCCAGCCTCCATTGAATTCTGTCTGATCATTGGCCAACAATGTGAATAGCCTTGCTCCCAGACAGAGTGCATTATAAAGTGGATTATTGTCACTCCCCTGGCAAGCCCAGGGATAAGCAGCAAAGCCCTTGGGGACTTGCCTGTGTGTGCCCGTAATAGAAATTGAGGTCCTAAGGCTTTGTGTCATGAGTCACATCCCGACTACCTTGATCGGAGGGCCCTGGCCCACTTTGGTAAGCTCTTTTGTATAGCACAATGTATGTATCCTAATCATGGTCCTGCTCCCACTTCTATAGTAGTCCTACCTGTAACTTTAATGTATCGATCTGCCACCAAACATGCTATTGTGAGTGTTCACTGTCCTGCCATGCCTACTAAGGTCTGAAAAACTCTCCAAACCCCTGGATACCATCAGACTTAACAGTTTTCCTCACCTGGATGATGTGTCATTGTCTTGTCTTTTCTTGTGTAAGCCTTAATCAGCAGAGGGGTTACAGGGAAGGGATGAGTCAACCCGGGTGCAGTAGAGCACCGATAGATCACACAATGTTCCTCTGTTTCCTTGAGGGTTCCTCACCCCCCCACTCATGACTCTAGTGCTGCTTCTCTCTCTGGACTGGACCGGAGCATGTATACAGGTATCGATAAGAGATAACGCTCATATTTGACCTCTAAAAATGTCCTTTGTCACCTAGTTCTTTTCTCTATTTCCTTTTACTTTCCTCTTATCCCACTATCATGTTTGGCCTTCATTTGGGTTTCAATAATTCCTCTCAGTTACATTGCCTTTGATTAGAACTCACCAGGGATCCTACACCCTCCTTGCCACTAATTTTAGATCACTTGTTGTTCCTTTGTCCCTGGGTTGGTTGAAAGCCCCCTTCCTTTCTCCTGCCTCCCCTTTTCCCATGTCCCCCCAGAACTGTTGTTCCTGTTGTTTTCTCCTCCTAATTGTTTATCCTGCCTATCTTATCTAGATAGACATGCAGAGACAATAATAAGCACACAAATAAGACAAAGCCAGACAAAACAACATAGGAAGACAAAACAAAACAACAAAAATCAATGACAAAGCCTAAAAATAGTTCCAGGTATGTTTACAGGCATGTACATTTGTAGATATATTTATGTATAATGTTAGGGAAATAGATCTATGTACTTATATTTATATGTTAGGTATTAAGGTAGCAGATGGACATTGGGTCTCGGCTTAAGTACTCCTTCAACACAAGTACTCCTTCAACACAAGAACACTTTGATCTAATAATCCCACATTCAGTGATATTCACCTTCCCTGACATAATCGCTGAACACAAAATGGGTGCATAAGCAAACTGAAGAAAGCCGATGGTGCCCGGCTATCAAAAGATACAGAGTCTGGGGTCTTAAAGGCTTGAAGATAAACAAGTGGCCATCTAGCTAAAAAGTAACAAAGCCCACATGGAAGAAGCACACCAGCCTGTGTAATCATGAGGTGTTGATGGGATCAGGTATCAGGCATCAAAGACCCAGGACCAAAAAATCTTATCAATGTGAATGTGTGTGTGTGTGGAGTGCAGACCCAAAGCCCATCTGTAGACAATTGTACATTCCCTTACAGAAGGGTCACAAGGAAGATATGAGTCAGTCAGGGTGCAATATAGCACAGATGATACACAAAACTTTCCTCTAGTTCTTGAATGCTTTACCCCCACCCCCCACTATCATGACCTCAATTCTACCTTACACATCTGCCTAGACCAGAGCATGTACATTGTTACAGATAAGAGCTTGCGACACAGGGAATCCAGGACAGATAAAACCCTCAGGACCAATAATGAGAATTGATATACTAGGAGGGGAAGGGGAAGGTGGGGGAAGAAAGTGGGAATGGGGTAGGGGAGGTGGGGAAACAAGGACCTGATATCAAGGACTCAAGTAGAAAGAAAAGGTTTTGAAAATGATGACAACCTATGTACAAATGTGCTTGACACAATGGATGGATGTATGGACTGTGATAAGAGCTATAAGAACCCTGGGTAAAATGATTTAAAAACACAAACTCCTGACAGGGAATCCAGGAACGGGAATGGAAATAGGATACCAGAAGGGAGGAGGGAAGGCGGGGAGAGGAAGAGAGGAGAGGGAACCTATCTCAATGATTGCCCCATAGCCACGCACCCCTCCCCCAGGGGAAGGAACAGCAGAATCCATGGGGTAAAGGAGACAGCGGTCGGTGTGAGATATGAAAATAATAATGATATGAAATCTATCAAGGGGCCATGAGGATGGGGGTGAGCGAAGAAAAGAGGAGCTGATACCAAGGGCTCAATAGAAAGTAAATGTCTAGAAAAGAACGATGGCAACCTACGTACAAATATGCCTGTTACAATTGATATATGGATTGTAATAAGGGTTGTAAGAGCCCCTGATAGAATGATCTTTTAATTAAAAAGGACTTAAATATGTCTGTATAAATAATATTTAACGTTTGAGGTCTGTTGTGTACTCTACGACAGGATCCCAAGTGAACAGTTTGGTTACTTGGCAAAGGAGTTGGGTAGAAGGTTACACAGCAAAGTCAGGAACTCAAAGAGCAATCTTACAGGGAAGATACTTTCAATCATGGATACTAATGCAATGTTGACATTTATTGAACCTTGATTCCAGCCATCTTGCTAAGCACTTTCATCATTTTATTGAAAGTGTATTTAAACCCCACAGGAAGTTAAGTTGTATTATTACCTTTCATTTTTGCAATTAAAAAACAGTAACAACATATTTATATTCAGGCATAAAGTTATTTGACCAGCGAAAATTTTATTCCACAGCCTCAAAGAACTCAAGTTCACTGCCATTGAGTCTTTTCTGATTCATAGACCCTGAAGGCCAGGGAACAGCTGCCCAAGTGGGTTTTGCAGAGCCATCTGGTGGTTACCAAGCTCTGAACTTGTGGTTAAGCAGCCTAATGCGTTAACTCACTAAATCACAAAGGATCCTAAAGTTTAAAGAGGTCTTTTACAACTGGATCGTGGGTTTGAACTGCCTATCTTGAGATTAGCAGCCCAACTCCTAGGACACACCTCTAGAGCTCAGGCTGATGAATACCAAAGGGTGTTGAGTTTGAGGTGTATACAAGACTTCAATTGGACAAATCCACAGGCATGGGCTCAAGAGAAGCTTGGGTAGACTTGCAGGCAGTATAAAGAGTAGAGGAGGAAATGAAACAGAAAAAGAAGTTGAGAGTGAGGCTTTGGGTAGCATGATCCTGTGAGAAATGGACTTCAATGAATCTTTGAGAAACTCCTAGTCCAGGGCCTAGGGTTGGAATGGGCATTTTGCCTTTATACTTCGTTTCTTTAGACTTAGATTCTCCAGTTCCTTGTGGATCAACAATCTCCTGAAGCCCACAAGGAGAAGGGAGGGTGGGGTGGAGGAATAGCAGCGATTCACCTCCAGCGCAGACCCAGGACTCTTCTCTCCCAGTGTCTGCAAGGGATCCAGGGACAAGCACCGCCAGGAGTGGCCCGCTACTGCGAGAACGGCCAAAAGGTACCTGGGCGAGGACCCAGCATGTCTCCAATTACAGTCTGCTCCATTAGCGGAGCCAGCAAGCGCACTGATGTGTGGGAGGGTCGGGAGCACTCCAAGCCCCATCCAGCGCCGGAGCCTCCTCCGCGCGGCAGGCTCCGCCCCCGTGCGCAACTGCTTCCTCCGCTCCTTTCCTCTCCAGACTCCGCGTCTTTTCCCGGCTGCGTCCCCCGACCCCCAGCCCCAGCCTTCAC